AAACCAGCTGAGTTTTGATGGATGAGTTTGAACATCACCTGATGGTTAAATAATTTTTCATTTATCAGAGGTGAGCAATTGTATCATAGGGCTGTAGTAAAATAAATGTTACATATATTAGGCTGTAAAAGCCATTTCACATCCATTTGATTGATACTTTGAAATTTTCCTGATAAAAGTAAAGATTAGTTTTTCACTTATAGTATATGCATTCAAAGTTATCTCCTAGGATAAATGTCCCAGTGCATGACAAAAATTCTGATCTTGCTATAAACATGATCCAGAACCAAAATGCCATAGACCCAAAAATTACATCAGGGAGTTGTTCTCAAATGTCATTATCTGTTGCTTATGGAACTTCCACTCTTTTCAACAACGCTACGAAGCACACATCACGTGGCACTGGTAAACACTGGCTTTTTAATGACATCCACCCCATCTATAAGCTTAGGAACAAAATTCTTGACCTTCATTTCCAAAACACAACAGCTCTATCGCTTTGATAAAATCAAATAATTTTCTTATATCTCAGCTGATCACTGAAGAAGGGTGAGATAAGCATGAGCACATGAGATGGTTTCAGAGTTCATCTCCAGGACCACACACAAACACACACATTAACATCAGAGGTGAACTCTGAAGTTCAGTACTATGGAAAAGGAGGAAGAGGATGAGACAAATCCTCTCATTTTTCCTCCTATACATTGACAGTACTGATAGATAATTTTTCCTCCTCTAGAAAAAAATTAAATTAGTAAGCCAGTCCTCTTCCCATTCACTTTTCCAAACAAACAAGATCTTAGGAATGGATTTAATTTTAAAAGCTTTTTTGCCTTTAAGGGTTACTTTCCCCTTTCCATTCTCTAGAGCAAGTCCAGGTGAGGTAGGAAGAGGTCTTAAATTTAATGAGAAGTATCTTAGCTGCAAGCAAGGCTCAGAGCCTAGAGAAACTTTTAGGAATAAGGCAGTCCATGTAATGACCTTGTAACTCTTGAGAATCTTGACTCTAAAAGCAAAGCTTTAGGATTCCCAGTGAAGACAGGTAAGTTTGCAACATCATTTTCAGTGCCCAGCAGATTGCCTGAATGTATTTGAGGTGGACAAAATATTGTACTATAACCACATGAAGTGAACTACAGTATGGCATGCTTATCTGGGACAGTATATCTGATAGCATATGTAGAATAGTATGTCACCCTGATATAGAGTGAATGGGAAAGAGGTTAGGTTGCATATTTCAACAGCAAAACAGAAGAAGAAAAAACAACTCAAACATTTTTTGCTGTCTTGACTATAGAAAACAAACTTCCTTCTATGTTTTGCTATGTTTTGTAGCTGATTTTAGCAGGACTCAGTACAGCAAAAATGTAGGAAGTTTAAGTTTACTTATATTGTAATCAAAAAGCATTAGATAATGTTTGTTAAGAGACTTCAGGAGATGGAATAGCACATCTACCTTTCCTTGTCTTTTCCCCACTTATGCTATTGTAACACAAGACTTGTAAAAACTAGGGAGCTATTTAAAACATGTTTTAATGAAAAGAACAATCATGGAAGCTAATCCAATGCTGCAATCAAGCATTAACTAACAATAAGGGAAGGACTCGTATTTCCTCACCTTTAGTCATCCATTATTTAGCCATCTATTTCCTCCTTTATTAACTGTGTATTTTTAAAAGGAGTAAGATGTTCACTTTATATACAGTAAAGAACTAACTTTGGGTTTTTTTTCCCCACATTCCATTGTTTTATATAACTTTTGTAAAGTTTGTATAACCATGGATTTTGTCTGAAGCAGCCCAACAACTTCAGCATATAGTGCCGGGGGATTTGAGGCATTCCCGCTGCGGTCTGTACTGCAGCACCTTGTACCACTCACTTTGTGCAGCAAAAGTGCTTGTGTGCATCTAATCTCAGTAATGACAAAGCCCATGCTTTGTCACTACTGAGATTAGATGCTGACGAACACCCAGGATGGTGTGTGGCATGTTTCCTGAAGTCTGTTGTCATTGCTGTATGACGAGTATTACTACAAGCTAGAAAGGACAACACGCAGTACTGTACTGTGACTTACACAACCATTGCATGTTTTGCAGAAGTTAAAATCTTTTTATCATTTGGTGAAAAGGTATGTATTAGTAAAAGAACATGGTTTCACTTTTAGGACACCTTGAAATGCCAGACCTAGAGGCTGACGTGGTTTACAGCTTATAGCTAAGCCAGGGTCAAAATAAAACAAAAATCCCTCTAACTTCTCACTACAAATTCAGATTCCTATGCAGCAGTACTTGACAGTCAAGACAGCCCTAGTGGGAACATGGGGTGTATGAGTCCTGAGAAAGGGATCTCTGTCACACTGCCTTTTTTTTTTTTTACTGTCTGTATTTTATTTTTTAATAAGTGATTGACATGATATACTTTGTCATAAACCTAATACCTTTCCTTAAAAAAGTATGGACATGATGCCAACAATGCAGCAAATGTCATACACTTGCCAAGGTCATTCCTTGATCTGCTCTCATTCAAAATACTGATC